TAGAAATTAATTTGCATTTTCATGAATGAAATAAGTATTTGATCCCCTATCAATCAGCAAGATTTCTGGCTCCCAGGTTTATTTTATACAGGTAAGGAGCTGACATTGGGAGCCTTCTCAACTTGTTACCTGTTAAAATACACCTGTTCATAGAAGCAATCAATCTATCCAGATTCCAAACTCTGCACCATGGCCAAGACCAAAGAGCTTTCCAAGGATGTCAGGAACAAGATTGTGGACCTACACAAGGCTGGATTGGGCTACAAGACCATCGCCAAGCAGCTGGGTGAGAAGCTAACAACAGTTGGTGTGATTATTTGCAAATGGAAGAACCATAAAATAACTGCCAATCTCCCTCGGTCTGGAGCTCCATGCAAGATCTCACCTCGTGGAGTTTCAATGATAATGAGAACGGTGTGGAACCAGCCCAGAACTATTCGGAAGGACCTTTTCAATGATCTCAAGGCAGCTGGTACCATAATTACCAAGAAAACAGTTGGTAACACACTATGCCGTGAAGGGCTGAAATCCTGCAGTGCCCGCCAGGTCCCCCTGCTCAAGAAAGCACATGAACAGGCCGGTTTGAAGTTTGCCACTGAAGATCTAAATGATTCAGAGGAGGACTGGGTGAAAGTGTTGTGGTCAGATAAGACCAAAATCGAGCTCTTTGGCATCAACTCAACTCGCCATGTTTGAGGTTTGCAGACGATATTGATGGTCTAGCAGGTACAGAAGAAGAACTAGGAGCGCTAGTAGGGCACCTTGACAAAACCTCAGCTGCATACGGAATGGAAATAAATGCAGAGAAAACCAAGCTGATGACGAACAACCGCAAAGGCATCAGTTTGGACATCAGGATCGGTGGCGAGAAGTTGGAAACTGTCAACAGCTTCAAATACCTTGGAGCAATGGTCACCAATGAAGGATTTAAAACCCGAAGTACTTGCCAGAATCGCACAGGCAACAGCAGCATTGGCAAAGCTGAAACCTATCTGTCGATTTGAAAACTCTGAAATAATTCTGCAAACCTGAGATTGTAAATTTGGGTTTTAAAATGAATCCTGAATTAAAGCTTGAAAGCCAGATTCGGACAGTGGTTAGATCTAGCTTCTTTCACCTGAGGCAGCTAGCCAAAATTAAGCACTTTCTTGCACGACAGCACTTTGAAACAGTAATCCATGCCTTTGTAACCACTTGGCTGGATTACTGCAATGCACTTTATTCTGGGGTGAGTCAGTCCTCTATTTCTCGACTGCAGCTTGTTCAAAATGCTGCTGCACGTCTTTTAACTGGCACTCACAAATATGAGCATGTCACCCCGGTTCTAAGTTCTCTTCACTGGCTGCCTGTGCATTTTAGGATCCAATTTAAATTGCTTTTATTTGTTTATAAGTGTCTGTCTGGTGTTGCCCCTCTGTACCTCTCTGAGCTCCTCCATCCATATACACCTTCTCGGTCTCTCAGGTCGGCTGACCAGCTCCTTCTGAGTGTGCCTAGGACTAGTCAGAAGATCAGAGGGGATCGGGCTTTTGCAGTGGTAGCACCTAAATTGTGGAATGAGCTGCCTTTATATGTCAGACAAGCATCCTCTACATCTGTTTTTAAATCACTTCTCAAAACACATTTGTTCACTTTGGCCTTTGGTACAGCATGACATGTTGACATCTTTAATTTGTTTTTAATTTAATTCATTTTTATTTTATTATTTTTATTTTATTTTATTTATTTTAATTTTAATGTATTTTAGATGTGATTTTTAAGTTTATTTTTGACATTCTTATTCTGATACACTTGTAGCACTTTGGTCAACTTCGTTGTGTGAAAAGTGCTTTATAAATAAAGTTGCCAAGATAGGAATATTATACACAGCTCAAAAATCAGATTGATGCAATCCCTGGTTATCTCAATCTTCCTGTATGCCTGTGAGTCTTGGACTCTGACAGCGGAACTTGAAAGAAGAATACAATCTACTGAAATTAGGTGTTTCTGAAGACTTTCCTACAAAGATCACATCACAAATGAAACAGTGCAAGACAGAATCAGACAGTACATTGGCCCTTATGAAAAACCCATTACCAAAGTGAAGAAGCGAAAACTGCAGTGGTACGGGCACATCTCCAGATCATCCGGCCTTGCCAAATCAATTCTCCAAGGAACTGTTCAGGGGGGAAGAAGAAGAGGCAGACAGAGAAAGAGGTGGGAAGACGAATGACAGGAATGATGCTGAGTGATGTGCTGAGACAGACCGAAAACAGAAGAAAGTGGAAGAAGCTGGTTGTCAAAGCATCAGGAGGTGCCCCCACGGTCTCACAGACTACAGGGTAGAAGAAGAAAGTCCACTGACAGTGTTCTGACGTAGGTGTTTGGCCTATCTAGGTGCTGAAGTATGTGATGGAGGCTGAAGTTTACAGCATTATCTGCATCATTGGCTCTATAGGCGAACTGTAAAGGGTCAAGGAGAGGTCCTGTGATAGACTTTAGATAGGATAGGACTAGTCTCTCAAAGCATTTCATGCCAACAGATGTCAGGTCTGTAGTCATTCAGGCATGTGATCTACCCTTCTTGGGGACTGAGATGATAATAGATGCTTTAAAGCAGGGTGGTACCTGGCATTCAGAGATGGACTGCTTGAAGGTGGATGAAAGCACTGGTGATAACTAGCCTCCAAGCAGTCCTAGAACATGTCAGTTGCCTCTGGAGTCCATATTTTAAGTGTTGTCCTAGTTGGTTTGGCCCTTTTTAGTTGATGTCTGTACAGTATGTTGGCACCATGTATTCTAAGCAGTGGTCAAAATATCAAAGAGGTACATGAGGAATGGCAGGTGTTATGGGAAATTCAAGCCCCCATGTTCTTACTATTGTGTGCTAATTTGAAATCATGACATCACCTACTCTCAGTTAGACGGTTTCTCTGTCATTTTAATGTCATTCTACGAAAGTGTTTAGTTGAACATGCCATATAACAAAAACATTGCACATATTTTAGATGTTTCTAAAGATACTTAAAATAGTTTAAATTGCTGCTAATAGATGGTTGTTTGGAAAACTGCAATATTGCTTGTAGGACTTAGCATTCAGTGTTGGGTCCAGAGCATTAAAGTCCAGACCAAGATTTTCTTTCAACCAACCAGTTGAGCATAAAGAGTCACAGAGTACTCAACTCATTGGTTGAAACAAAATCCCTGTCTGAACATTTACTCTCTGGACCTGAATTACCCAACTCAGCTTAACATATATTATGCATGACAATCAATGTGATATTGCTTATTCTAATTATTCAATTTAATTGTAGAAACTTACTCCTTACATTTTCAACTACTGTTGGCAATGATGTCTTTGTAAGCATTCAGACATAATCCAGTTCAAATAAAACATTATGATGCATGGTTTCCTATGCTAACACACAGATACAGAAATTATAGGACATCAAATTGGTGATACTATTGTATTTACATGGAAATGTGTAGCTGTATCACTTTTTCAGCTAACAATAATATATTTGTGCATAGATTATAAGGGGGAACATTATTACCATAAACCAAAAATGTAGGTTTCCCTAAAATAGACACACGGTAACTCTGGACCTTAATACTAATAACACTCATTTATGCACATGTAATTATGTATCTGAATGACCTTCAGCCACCTAACATACTCCTTTGCCCAAATATGAGGTAGAAACATTACTTCCTGAAATCCAGGATGTCTTGCAGCAGTCCAAATGGTGCATTCACACATGACAAGTAATTAAAAATGTGAATGGAGGTATATCTAGAGTAAACTGAAATTAAACTATTAAAATTAAACTATTATCAAAAAGACGTGCTTTGTTTTTGCATATATGGCTTGTTAACCTCACCAATTTTGTAGAAAGACATTAAAACAACAGAGAAACCATCTAACAATAAAGTAGCAGGTGACATCATGATTTCCCGTAACACCGGCAGCCACTCAAGTCTCCCTTGGGAGGTTTAAAGTCCAGTATTAACTCCAGTTGACATAGGATTGGAGGTAAAGCCACCAGCATAAATTACACCAGTATAAATTCCCTGATGTTAAGATGTGTATTGACTGTGACTGATTACTGACTGTAGCAGTAGAGCATAATGCAGAAAAAACAGTTGAAAAACAAACAAATGGGGTTCAGGAGCGCTGGGTGCCAAGCCGGATGTCGGTGCCATAACATTTATTTAGTATAGAAATTCTAAACAGAAGTCTCAAAATTAAGAAATAAAGCAACTATAATAGATATCCGCCAACAGATTTTTTACTTAGTTTATGACATTGCTCTCAAAATAGAAGGTGTATATTTTGCAACAAATCTAAAACGTATTTCACAAGTGGCTCAAAAAACAGTAGCTGACGACCCTGAAAGTGCACTTCATAACTACAAAGATCCTTATTAACCTTCAATAAAATAAAAGTTTCACAATTTAAATAAAATGAATGAATAATAAAAATATATTTTTAAACCTGTTGGACTATAGACTATGATAAAACTGCTTAATCATTTTCATACAGTTGTCCAAAAGTTAACAGTTTACTGCCAGTCCAATGTTCTTAAAACTTTAAAACTAATCAGAACTTATCTTTCCCCTATTCTCCCAATGCGGTATCAAAATTAACATGTGCTAAGGTAATCAAAGAGATAACGCATTGTGACATTAAAATTAATGCTAATGCATTGATGCATTAATTTTCACACCCTTGGTATATACACAAGTATGCTCTAACACACAAACATAAGCATGTTTGTTCATCTTCCCATTGTTTATCCTGATTAGGGCCACAGTGGGGCATGGAATCTATCCTAGGCAGCTTAAGCTATGCAGATGTACAATGACATGCAAGTTATGGGAAATTTGAGAGGGCCCCTGGAGGTATAAGGCAATAGTTTTACTCGTTGCACCACTATGCAACCCTGCATAAACACAGACATGTTTTTAAGTTGCATTAATAAACACAAGAAACCTGGTAGTAACATTTTTTCTCCTCTAAGGTTGGGAGGCCCCTGGTCCCCCTGGAGTGCGGGGCCCTCTGGGGTGTATTGGTCAGAAAGGAGAGAAAGGTGACTGCGCTGCCCCCGTCATTGGTCTGCCAGGAGCGTGTGGGCCTCGAGGAGTGGCCGGTCCCCCTGGTGACCCAGGACCCCCTGGGCAAGCAAGTAACTGCCCCTTTCTTGTAGATTTCCATTGATATTTTGTCTTCACTGCAATGAAAAGAACGTCAGTTTCATAACAGCTACTTAGCCTGTGGATGCTGTCTCATAACATATGTGTAACCTCTCTAACAGATCCTCTAGAAGGCCGATTAGGACCCCCAGGGAAACAGGGACAGAAGGGCATAACAGGGTGCCAAGGAGTGAATGGAAAAATTGGACCACTTGGTTTGTCCTGCTTCCTCTGCTGTTTTTTATGTAGTCTGTCCATCACAGAACACATCTGGGCAGCATACGGATGGCACACATACACTTTATGGGCAATCTGCATGTGTCTTGAACTTGAGTGCTGGCCAATGAGCCACTGTGCCGCCTTGACTGTTATGTCAGAACAAATTGAGTTGGAACTTAATAGACAGGAAGTTGAATAAAAGTTGCATGAAGTCTGATGAATTTGAAGAGTTCAGAAATGGAAATTTCTCTCCAGAAGAAAAATGGGGCATTTATCACTGCCCCATTATATTCTCTATGATATATTTTTTAAGTCGTCTTGCTAATTGGTAAGACATCCATGTGAGAACATGTGTATTAGGCAACTTCACAAACATTGCGGGAAGATCGCAAATAGGTTGCTGCAGATCCAAAACTCAATGGTAACTTGTGTTCTGGTACCTAGCAAACAATAATGTACAGACATGCACTAAGAAAAAAAGACTAGGAAAATTGTGGTTTTTGATTGATTTAAATGAGCTTAGCTATATAGATAGATAGAGAGAGAGAGAGAGAGAGAGAGAGAGAGAGAGATACTTTATTTATCCGGAAGGAAATTTAGGTGTCCAGTAGCTTATACACAGTATACATACACATAGGCACACAGACCTATGGCGTTCACGCACACATACAGTACTGTGCAAAAGTCTTAGGCAGTCCAAAGAAATGTTTAAAGCTGTTTATCTGGGTAGCAAGTGTACTTTGGCTTAGAACAAAAAACACAATTTCACATTAGAACATATGCAAATTAAGAGTAACACAATAAAAACTAGCAATAATTTCTTCTGTTTCCTAAAAAGTTACTGATATCTAATTGGATGGCTAGATGAACACCGCGTCAGTTCCCAAACCTCTCTTCAGGGGCACCCCAGCCATTCCATGAGTTTGTTAAATTTCATCAACAGCTCAATTAAATAATTAAATAAATTGGTTTAAAAAGTCAGTGACAGATTGACTAGCTGTAAGAGGTGTGCTAGTGGCCAAGTCAAAAAATACATGGCTGCACTGGATGGTTGCTGCAAATACTAGGGAGATTTTAGCAGAGATTCTGAAATGGCAAAGCTGGCACACTTTGACAGGCATAATATCATAGTTTTACACCAACACGAGGATAATTTAAACATCATTTTCTTTGCCTGCCTAAGACTTTTGCACAGTACTGTACATACTGCAACAATACAAAGGAAAATATCAGGAGGGCAGTGTGCTATACAGACCTAAACACTTAAGTCCATCACACTCCTCCCCTTCCATGTGACGTTGAAGAGCTGTATAGCCCTAGGGACAAAGGACCTTCTGAGCTTGTCTGTTCTGCATGACAGAGACAGAAGCCTATTACTGAACATGCTCTTCTGTTTGGAGAAAGTGGTGTGCAGAGGGTGACGGTCATTGTCCAATATTGAGAGCAGTCTGCTCAGGGTTCTCCTATTGGGGTGAACAGTGTGGTAATCTCTCTGATGCAGGTCAAAAGGGTGAAACTTGCACAGTGTGTCGTTTACCACATTATAACCCCGCCCCCCCAGGGCCCCCTGGAGAACCAGGCATATGTGGATTGAAAGGTAAGACATTTATTCCTAATACTAAAACACACAAGGGCTAACGGGGAAGAAAGCTGATAAGACCACTGGGTAGAGTACACTTATTTATGAGCAGCATAATTAATCACCTTTACACAGTGCTTGAAGTGGGAAAAAATAAGTGCAGGAACTCTAATTTTCCGACATTTGACATTTGTGCGGTGAAAAAATAATCAAGTCTTTAGGATGTGTTGGTTCAAAAACTATTTTAATTTAATCATTCTTCCAAGCAATAACCTATAGGCATAGGCTACTTTTTTCTAATTCACAAATGGAATACTGAAAAACCATTAAAACAACATGAACCAGACCAGTGTGATACTTGTAGGCCTAACAATAGACTAGGGCTAAAGCTGATGCGATTGGTTGGGACTCAGTGGATGCATATGATAGGGCACTGTCGTGGCTCATGGGTAATGTAGTCTTTTATCGGTCTTGTGATATTTTCTATTCTTGGGCCTCTGTCGCTGCGTCGGATCAGTTTCAGTAAGTACCGGAACGCAGAAAAAAGTGGCGGAACCCAAAAGACGAAAATACAGAAGTTCCGGAACTGTGTTCCGCTGCGTTCCGGCCCACTTCAAGCACTACCTTTACAGCTGAATCAATGTTAAGAATAATAATCCCAGGAATTTTCTTATAGGTGAAGATGGAATGCCTGGTCCAAAAGGTATCCATGGTAGAAAAGGGATTCAAGGTCCACCTGGTCTACCGGTAATAATTAGTTTATCTGCTTTGTGGACTAACCACCACACAAAGTCATGATGTCACTGATATGCATGCATACAATGCTGAAGTATCCTAAAAAGATTTAACATTGTTATACCAATGTGACATCATAATAGAAATTAAGCTTGTAGAATAACTTTTCAACACTAGCTTTTAATAGGACTACCTTGGCCAAGGACAGTATTTGCACCCCTTTGTGCTTGGCCAGAGTGTTTGATAATCAGAAAAAGCACTCCCATGTTGTGCTTCAAGCATACAATCACCGATCAGAGATTCAATTATGATTCTGTCAGATTTGGTGCCACAATGCATACATATATTTTAGAAGTAAGCAAGTGTTTGTGAATTGCTTATGCACTCTATATAAATAGTTGTATGTCCACAGGGCTCCATTGGCTTTCCTGGTCCAAGAGGCCCACCAGGGGTAAAGGGGGTTATGGGCACCTACAATCAGATGGGGGAGAAGGGGGACCAAGGATTGTCTGGACAACGTGGTGTCTCTGGAATGTGTGGTAAAGATGGGGTCCCTGGGTGTCCAGGAGCCAAGGGCCAGCTGGGTCCGAAAGGCTGTCTGGTGAGTGACTGAATAGTGTAATCCCATGTGGGCCCACTGTGGGTTTGCCCTCACTAGACCCCCACTACATTACCTGCTTGGGCCTCCAGTTGGTTTTCTGTAGACAGCCCATACTGGATTGGTGTGGTTCCTTCTGATTGGAAGCATTTAATTTAACACCCATATTAGGGTGCATCAAACCCCCATTGATTTTCAAAATGTTTTTGGCTGTATAATAAATATGTTCTACCGGATGAAAAAATAATTTGGGCAAAATTTCGTTAATTTTGATTAACATCTACCGGGTCCACATCTAGATTGAAAATATGAAAAATAATGATAAACGCAAGAAAAGCGAAGGTACTTCAGAAGTTCACAAATATATTTTAAATGCACAAATTAAATTATTGTGATACATGTCTGATGTCTGATATAGTTGGTGCAGGTGTATAGGGCATAGGCCTACTG